CTCCCCCCCCCCCCCCAGGGAGTATTTAGTTCCCTCCCTGCAACAGGCTGGGCTTGAGACCAGGAGGTGGGGACGTGAGATGGTGAGATGGCGAGGTGGGAGGGACAGGAAATGACAGGACTGGCTCCTGTTGGCACTCACCCAGCACCTTGAAGTGGATGGTCTGGCTTGGCCTGGGGAACACCAGCAGCTGCATACCCCGCAGCCCACAGTCATAACTGTACTGGAGGCCAGGCTCCCGGTGCAGATACTGACCCAGCCCCAGGGAAGCTGCCACCAGCAGAAGTGCCACAAAGCAACCCCAGGCCATTGTGGAGGCTCCTGACAGCATACACAACCACAGCAGCCCCTATGGCCTCCTGCCAGCTGGGCCCAGGCCTTATATGCCACAGGCTCTAAGTGCAGCCTCTGTGGGGAAAGGGGGTCCACCTGGGGGAGTAGCCACCTGACCACCAGGGCCTATGGAGAAACTCCTTCCTTTGAGGCAGAGGAATGCGCCTCCTAGCCTTGGCTGTAAGGGCCGCTCAGAAAGTTTCCCTTGACCCCTCACCTGCTTTTCTGTCTGGCAGCTGTGGATGGCGGTCCAGGAGATTTCTAGCAAAGAGGCTGCAGGCGGGCAGTGGGTTAGAAGCTTATCCCGGAATTCCTCAATCCACTGGCCAGGTGCCTCCCAAGCCTCTCATGTCTCTCACCGGACCCTTCCTGCTCAGGCAGCTCTGCAGGGCCTCCTGCCTGCCCTGGGTCTCAGGACCTCTGGAAACTGAATGCCAGGTTAGTTTTTCCCATTCTTGGAAGAGCTGATGGTTGCTGAGCAATCAGATGGGTAGAGTTTTTCTGGGACTAGGACAGTTAATGGGCAGATACCACAGGTGAGCAGCCTCAGTCTGAAAATCTGAACAGTTTTGAACACTGGGACAACAAAAGCAGAAGTCTGAGCCTGGAGAGATGGCTCAGTGGTTAAGAGTACTGGCTGCTCTTACAAAGGACCCAGCTTTGGTTCCCAGCACCCACGTGGTGTCTCACAACTGCCTGTAACTCCTGTTTCAGGGGAATCACACGCCCTCTTCTGGCCTCCTTGGGCATTGCATACACATGGTACACCTACATACACACAGGCAAAACACTCATACACATAAAATAAAATAAAAGCAGAGCTCTATCTTAAAAATTGTATTCATTATTTTTATTTTATGTATATGAGTGTATTGCCTGCAGGTATGTAAGTGCACTTGTGTCATGTAATGCCCACAGAGGTAAGAAGAGGGTGTCAGATTTCTCTGGAACTGGAGTTACAGATGGTTGTTAGCTGCCATACGGGTGCTGGGAACTCTCAACAAGAGCAACCAGTGCTCTTAATGGCTAAGCCACTTCTCCAGTCCCCAGAAATCTATTCTTGACCTTTTGATGAGTCACAGTAAAAATACACAGCTAAGCATGGTGGTGCACACCTTTATTTCCAGCACTCAGGAGGCAGAGACAGAAGGATCTCTGAGAGATCAAAGCCAGCCAGGTTCACATAGCAAGTTCCAGGCTAGCTGGGGTCACAAAAAATATATGTATAAACAAGCTACAGTATAAGCCACATGCAGACAGTTGACAGGTGATGAGCCTATAATCCTAGCACTTGGGAGGCTGAGGCATAGGGTTCATGAGTACAAGGCCAGCATGGTCTACAAAGTGAGGCCCTGTCTCAAAAACAGTAACATCACCACGAACAAGAATACTTCCAGGCTCTATGTATAAAATGTGTATAAAACTCTTGGGTGCCAGCCCTAAGAGATCTCATTGTGAATATGCAAATATGCCTAAATAGAAAAAAAATATGGAGGCTGGTGAGATGGCTCAGTGGGTAAGAAGAGTGCTTGCTGTGTAAGCATGAGGGCCTGAGTTCCAATCCCCAGCACCCATGTAAAAAGCCAGGTGTGGTTCTGCACACTTGTAACTCCAATGCTGTTGAGGTACAGAGATCAGAGGATCACTTGGGCTTGCTAGATCCAGCCTAGATCCAGTTTCAGTGAGAGACCCTTTCTCAAGAGGATAAGATGTACAGTGATAGAGCAGGACATCCAGTGTCCTCTGGCTTCCACACACTCATGGACACACCACACACACACAAAACACTTCTAGTCCCAAGCATTTGGATAAAGAATACTCAAGCTGTACTAATAGAAAGTGGGATAAGAGCAGTTAATGGAATAGATGACATCCTAGCTAGGACAGTGGAAAAGCTCAGGAGATGCATCTACCAGAGCCGTTGATGGTGATAATCGTACTGCACCAACGGAAGGTGATAATCACAGGGGAAGTGGTGTGGAATGTGCAGGAACTCTTTGTATCATCTTAGAATTCTGTTCATGTAGAACAGTTGTGAGAAATAATATCTATGAACACTTCCACAAGAATGGCCAGGCTTGGTGCCAAGGCTGTGCCAGCTCCTCACTCTGCCCCATCCTCTAAAAGATGCCATCATCCCACTTCAGGACTCTAGTTCACCCAGAGTGTAGCAGAGTCTGAGCTCAGTGAAGGCTGGTAATGTGTCTGCAGTGTTCATAGGTCCCTTGTAGCGTGGAGAACATGTAATTAGTGGTTTACAGTCTGACTCTAATCTAGTTATTATGGCTTCCTACCTGTGATCTGGGTGTGTTATTTTTTTTTTAGAGCCTCAGGCTTCCCCTATGAGAGTCCCAGATGATAAATTGTGCTTATCTGGCAGGGTGAACAAGAAGAGTAAAAGAGACCCATAACGGATGTGCTGCGTTATATGCTATATGCTTATAGCTATATGGCTATATGCTTGGCTGTGGTGAGACTTTACTGTGACTAGAGGAAATTTGGTGGGTGACTCTGGGAGCAGAGTGGGGAGAAGGACCTGACGCCGAGCCGACTTGCGGCTATCCGGACATGTAGAGACTGCTACCTTAGACAGCAGGGGTCCCCAACAACATGGGGTGGGATAGAGTGGAATAGGGGTCCTGGAAGTGTTTCTGAAGGAAAGTTGACTGAGAGTAGAGGCTTGAGGCTGGGATGTAGCTGAGTTGGTAGAGTGCTTGCCTAGCATGCACGAGGCCCTGAATTCAATCCCCATTACCAAATAAAATGGGTGTGGTGGCTCATACCTGTAGTCTCAGCATCTCACTTGGAGGTGGACGTACGAGGATCAGAATTTCAAGTTCATCCTTTCCTATATGTTAAGTTTGAGGCCAGTCTGGGCTACAGGAGACTGACTCAAAAACATCCTTTCCTATATGTTAAGTTTGAGGCCAGTCTGGGCTACAGGAGACTGACTCAAAAACAAACAACAAAAAAAGAAGGTTGGGCACATAGTTAACAGAAAAGTAGACTTTCTTTTCCAGGAAACAGAGATCATCAAAGAAATGCAGTCAGTGAGGGGAGCTGGACCACCTGGCTCAACCCAGCTCCTCTGCTTGCTGGCTGTGCAGCCTTGGCTTACTCAAGCCTCTGAGCCTCAGTTTTTTCCTTGGTGAGTGAGGATGATGAGAGTGCCTGTTTGAGCTCAGCCTGGTGCCCATAGCTGGTAAATACTCCATACTCACTCTCTGTAGTGTGTATGTGGGGGCCCTCAAACAGTCATCCACAAACCAACTCTAGAACATGTGACTGGGACCTTATTTGGGAAAAGAGGACTTTGCAGATGTAATTAAGAATCTCAAGATGTGCCAGGTGTGGTGGCACATGCCTTTAATCCCAGCACTTGAGAGGCAGAGGCAGGTGAATCTCTATGAGATCTAGGCCAGCCTGGTTTACATAAAGAGTTCTAGGCCAGATAGGCCTAGATGAAGACCATGTCTCAAAAAAAAAACCAAATCCCAAGATGGGGAGTGGAGAGATGGCTCAAGGGTTAAGAGCACTAGCTACTTTTGTAAAGGCCCCAGGGTTTGGTTCCCAGAACCCACAACTGTTTCTGACTCCAGTTCCAGGGGATCCCACACCCTCTTCTGGCCTCCACAGGCACTGCATGCACATGGTGCACTTACATACATGCAGGCAAAACACTCAAATACATAAAAATTAATTAAAATAAAAAGAATCTCAAGATGGCATCATCCTGGGATATCCACATGGACCCTAAAATCAATGCGATGTGTCCTATGAGAGACACATGGGGGAAGGAGAAGAAAACAGGCCACCGGAGGAAAGAGCTTGAAGCCTGTGGTGGTTGTGTAGTGCTGCTGACAACTTGGTTTCAGACTTCTGGTTTCCAGATTGTACGAGAATAAATATCTGCTGTTGAAAGACCCTGAGTATGTGGTAGCTTGTTATAGCACCCCTATGGAGCTGTAAAACTGCTGCTCTGATGAGGATTAAGTGGTAGGGTGTAGGGCTGAGTCCAGTCCCAGGCCTGGCACTGCCTGCTCTGCTACTGCCTCCTCTACCCTCTCCTTTCTCCTTTTGAGATAGGGTTTCACATAGCCCAGGCTATGTATCCCAAAATGACCTCCTGCCTCTACCTCCTGAGTGCTGGAATTGTAGGCATGCAAACCCATGCTGGGTTAATGTGGTGCTGGGGATGGAATGCAGGGCCTTGTGCCTGTCAGGTAAAGCACTCTACCAAGTGAGCTACATCTGTAGTTACTTTGCCTTCTTGCTGTCCTTCCCAGTATATGAGTTCTGCAGGGTTGTGCCCATCACTGGAGCCAACAGCAGGGAGAATTGTACCAGGCTGTGGGCTGTGTGCAGACCCACCCAATGGAGAAGAGTGGGCTACTGTGATGTCTGACCTGTGCACAGACTCTGGTGTTGCAGGTTCATTCTGATCAGTAGATGTTTGTTGGGACCCTCTCACTTGCCCCTCTGTCTGGTTTTGGAAGCCAAGGAGTAAACAGGAATAGCCTCTGTCTTCAGGTTGCTCATCATGAGGGTGGGGAAGATGAGGGCGGCTGTGTGAAGAGTGAGGTACTGATCAGGGAGGATGTAGGAGAAGTAGGGTCTGTCTGAAAGGGCTCTGAAGGGCAAGTAGGAGTTCATCAAGAGGCCAGGGGAAGACAGGGAAGAGCAGGCCTTCAGCCCTACCATGGTTCTTCCCAGTGTGACGTTTATAATCCCTGGTGCCTAGAGAAAGATACCCCCATCCACCTACCCCACAGCCACAAGGCCCTAATCCCTGGATGAGGACCTTTTCCATGGCTTGGAGCTCAGCATCACAAGGCAAGCAGGAGTGGGGCCAGCAGGGCTCCAGCATTCCCATTGCCCTGCTGAATCTGAGCCTGTGGTTTCCCAACACACAGGCCCCAACTGGCTGTTTGTGAGGGCCGAGGACTGTCCAGATACCTGACAGGGGTATCCAAGCCCACTCTAATGCAGCACTCTGTCCACCAGCCCCTGCCCTCTCCTCCTCACACTCAGCTACCCTACCCCTCTCCCTGCCTTCTGCCTTTGCCTGACTCTTGCTGCTGATTTGAATGCCCACCAGCACCATCGACTTCTGAAACCCCCAGGGTCTCCTGGCCCCCAGAGAGCTTTGGCATCTTGGCATCATGCTTCACACTCACAGTGGAAAGCAGAGGCAGTACAGTCCCCCATCCCAGCTGGGCTCCCTCCCTCAGGCCCCTGCCTTAGGCAGTTTTTTCAAGTTCCTTTCTGGCTAATTTGAAAAAAACAACCAAAGAGGAAGCACAGTGCAGGCAGGAAATCCTGGAATCTTCCAGCCCTCAGCTCAGCAGGCCCTGAAGATGCCCACACACAGCAGAGGAGAGGCCTAGTGGGACTCTACATAACATCTTGTGGGAAGGCCAGGAGCACCCCAGGACACT